AAAATATATAAACCCAATTTCTCAAACACTAGGGGGTCTCATTCTCTGGCTTTGAGAGGAAACCATGCTTCTCTGTGGAGCATTATGCCTTCTCTAATAAACTTTCCTTTGTCTCTAACTCTGGCTCACACTTGAATTCTTTCTTGCAGAGAGTCAAGAGCCACTCTCAGTGTAGGATTTAAGTCTTCACTCTGGGGGATTTGCCCTGTCCTGCATCACATCCAGTGCCTTTTGCAAGTAAATTAATTCAGGTTTTTGTTGTGGAATTATAGTACAAAAATAACTTAAGATTTTGGACTTGTATATACACCCAAATCCACTTTAAATATAATTTCAATCTCTTCTACAGAAAGTAGAGTACAACAATATAAAATATTCCATTTTTGTTCAATAGTAACATTTTAAAATAAGACAAATATAAAGAAAAATTTGAAAAGCTCACATTTCAAAAATGTTAAGAGCTAATTCAAACTTTCAAACAGCATTTTATACACAAAGAGCAGAAACTGAGTGGAAAGTGCACTGCTGTTAAGATTTATATGCAAAGATTGAATACCTTTCCTCCCATCTTCTAAGTTCTTCTAACTGGGCTAATAATCAAATTAACAAAGACAGATTCACAGGAGAAAATCAAATGCTTTTGTTAGGTAATTAGTCAGAAATGAGTGACAGGGCAACAAAGAAATAGAGACCCTGCCTACCGATTGCCAAAGAACACCCTATTGGTAGTTAGAGAATCCCTCCTATAACTCCAGAGATAAAGGACTAAAGGACATAGGGGGCCATAACCTATAGCTGGTTTAATCCAACCACAGATACTTGCACAAAGGGTACTAACCTAACCTGCTCACACCTCAGCCTCATATACTATCATTATACCATGACTATGCCCAGAAGTTCTAATTATAACAGACTGAATTCTAGGTAAGCACACATGCACTAGGCAGAGTTTTATAGCAGCCAAGATTCAATTAAAATGACCTCATGTGCCAATCATCTAGGAATGCCTTTGTAACCACCCATGATAGCCTCAATATAATGCAGACCTTTCCACTTATGCCTTGTTACAGCTCTCTTCACTGAAAACCCACTCCTCCCTTGGGGTACTCTATTATTTCTTTTATCTTTTTACTTTCCAAGTAAGAATTTCACAGGGCTGTAGTCTTCCTTAGTATAGCCCGTCTCCTTCTAAAATATACTTTTTCTGAATCTTGCTGACCTGTAATTCTTTGCTGTGTTGCTGGAGAAGAGCTGAGAAACCCTCACCTCATGCTACTGGGGTGACACTGGAGTTCATATTGCTCCCCAAAGAGTAAAATTTTAATACATGTGTATGGGGAATTCATATAAGCATGAAAATTGCAAAGAGAGTGAAGTAACATTGGGTACATAAGACATTTTTTGGACAAAAGAGAAAGGGAGGACAGGTATTAGATTTCAGAACTGAGAATGGGCAATTTACAGGTACTTGAGGAAGAGCAGAACATACACAGGGAAATTCTTTTGGGGCAACTTAGAAGCAATAGAACAAGGGATATCTAGCTAACAGGTGCCTACCTTATGTACTCTTATTTACCAAACTTAATTCAAATTAGGCTAAGGCAGCACTCAAAGAGTTCCTTCCTGAAGCAGGTTTCTCTGTCTGAATATCTTGGGCAGGAAAGAGAAGAGTCAAAAGCTCATTCTGAGTCTTGTTTCTTAACAAACAGCTTAATATCAATATCTAAAAAGCAGCTTCAGATTGGCAAAA